TTTCAAATGGATAATCAAAATTGCTCAATCTAATTCTCTTTTCAAATTGAAAGTTGCTCACTGCAACCATTGTCTTCGATTGGATGGCTGGAAATAGAGATCCTACATCTTACTTTAGAAGGGTGTTCTCATTTGATATACATACATTTACAAAGAAATTAAAAGAAGTATATATATACACACAAAAATAATTACACACACATGTATATAGTATATGCATACATATACACAAACACACAGATACACACACCCAATATATTTTCTTTGATACCCTGTTTTTTTTTCTCTTTTGGTTGATGTCATAGTGTGCAATGGGCAAGCAAGCGATGGGCAATATTGCCTATAATCAGGTAAAGTATCTTTTGTATGTTTCTAGTTCGCCAACCATTTTTAACATGGTTGCGATGGGCAAGCAACCATTCTTTGATGTCATAGTGTGCATTGCTGTGTTGATTTATAATCTAATTGTTGATTGTGAAAAAGTTTGGTTTCTTTGTGTTTTCACTCTTGCATTCAAACTTCTTAGTAGTTGTTCTCTGTTCTCCCTATATCATATTATGTAAATATTTAGACAATTAATGCTCTATGCCTCTATGACTTGCATATCAGTTACTTGAACTTGATCAAAGTGCACTGTATAAGTGCAAGGTGTTTGACTGTCATCTTGAAGGCTTAGATTGGACTACTGGAGTACTGGACTAGTAATTTGTTTCGTACTTTTGCGAGGTGTCATTTGGTATAACTGGGGTGATCAATTAACAAAGGAGAAATGGTTCAATTCCATTTCTATTTTGCATGTTATCTAGAGAGCAATGCTTTCCATTTAACCTATAAAGCATATATGTGTCAAGAGTGATAGAGACCTAAAATAATACTAGAATAAAAGAGCGTCATTGGGATCTTGTGATGGCCTCAAAGTTAGAGATAAAGAACAAAATAGGTAAGAATAAGTGAATAACCAATAGCAATTTAGATCTATACTTAATGTGGAATTGGTCTGACAGCTTTTGTGTTGTTGCAAGTGTTTCTGTTTTTTTTTAAAGTGCAACGTGGCCAATAAAAAGGAAAAAGGAAACCTATGTACTAAAAAAACAGCATAACAAACTCAAGCTTGCAGTCTCTTTCTGTTTTTTTCCTTTTTTTTTTCTTTTCTTCTTTTCATATCTGTGTAGTAACAGAAACCATAAAAAGAGTAGAGGTAGGGACGAATGATGAAAGGAGCAGGAAAGGAACAGCTATGGTTGCAAGTTGTTATGAGCATGGTTGGGATCTTGTCTTTGATCTTGAGGAAATAACGAAAGAGATGAAGAATGACAGATAGTATTTCAGATTAGTACTTAATGTGGAATTAATTGGTGTCGGACCTTGTCAAGAAACACATATTTAGTTCTCTCAAATAGTTGTTCATTAATCATTAGAAAGTTCCCTTGTATAGCTACAACAAGAGCCCTAATCATAATAGGAAATGTAATGCTAAAGGCTAATAAGAATGTGAGTAAAATTGAACAAGTAAATAACATTCAAGTATGTAAAGGAAACTAGTACTAATATTAGTAAAAGGAAACTAATAATAACACTCGGATCCTTTTATAATACTTCTCCATGTTCCATTTGCGCGCCACCTCTCACATCAATACAATTGTCGTTTCTATGTAGTAAGTTTTTTCTGTCATATACTCATACAGCCCAAATGCGTTTAGGTCTGGCATAATGTACTGACTTTTTTTTTAACAACAGTTATTATCTGCTGCATGATTATTCGTGGGTTTCTAGTGCTATAGCTGTTTTTGTGCCGCAGTAGAAGCATTCTAGACAATTCTAACAGGCCTGACGATTGTATTTGGTTAATGTATTAGTCTGCTACTCCCTCCGTCCCAGAAAATTCTACCTAGTATGACTTGGATCGGAGTTTAAGAAAGTGGGAATAAAGTGGAAATGTGTGGTTGTAGTTGTGTAAGAAAAAGGTGAAATGAATGTGAGCCACACAAATAATCAAAAAGGTGAAGTTGGAAGAATTTTCTGGGACGTCCCAAAAAGGAAAGTTGGAAGAATTTTCTGGGACGGAGGGAGTATTAAAGTAAAAAAATTATTTATCTATTTCTGTTGTTCCCTTACCCCACCGTCGGTGAGAGCCTTTGCGGCACTGGGGTAATGATGAAGATTTCTGTTGTTGTGCATCTCATGCACCTTAATGCTCTACCCTTCCGTGACGTGTTTCCATCTCAAATGGCGTAAGCTTACTATTTTTTTGCACTTTGCAGCTGTACAGGATGGACTCGTTGATATACCTTTTGGTGTATCCTCAGAGGCCCTTATTGACAACTAGAACAATTGAGCTGGTGAGTATTGTATCGTGTTGCTGATTAGATGACATCTTCCTTCTTTACTAACAATTGTGTTTGTAGGTTGGATATGATAAACTAGGTGCTGGACAGAATGCAACTGTTGCTGTGATGAGTTATAGTGGATATGATATAGAGGATGCAATTGTAATGAACAAGGCTTCTCTTGACCGTGGTTTTGGTCGATGCATTTTAATGAGGAAGTAAATAATCAATGCCATGAGTGTATTTCCTGTTCATATTTTTGTGTGCTAAGATTTCAATGTAGCTATTTCCCCATTTGAAATGACTTTTTTTAACAGAGTCAATGCCAGTTACCAAAAGCACAGTAATGGTATATTTGATAGGAAACTTAGACCACATCGAAATGGATCTGATGCTCAAGAGATGCAGGTATAATTTCTTATTAGGGATGAGATGCTTCTAGTTTGGAATGTGCGGTAAGTGCATAAGATACCATCCTAGTTGGACTACATGGCGAAAGCAGTTAAATAATAAAAATATTATCTAATTTGCTTTCAGCCCTAAAATGCACTCATGCTGATACCTTTAGACGTTGACAAGTGGGACTGTGGTCTGTGGGTGTGGTTGTTGTGCCTAACTCTTAAGATGAGAGGCTTCTAATTTGGAATGTGAAGTAAGTGCATAAGATGCCATCCTTCCTTTTCCAACTAATACCCTAGTTGGACTACATGACGAAAATAGTTCAATAATAAAATTATCATCTAGTTTGCATTCAGCCCTAAAATGCTCTCATACAGATACCCTAAAAGAATTTATATATATATATATATATATATATATACTGATGCCATTCTTGTTATCTTGTTTATTCTATCTTTTTATGTAAATCCATCTCTTTTTTTATATATTATCTTTTTTATCATAGATTATCTTTCTTTTCCTTTTGGTTACGATATCATATGTGGATTCATGTTAGCCGACCCCAAAATCTTTTGGGACTAAGGCTTGGATTTTGTTGTTGTTCTACTAATACCTATAGAGGTTTGGACAAGTGGGACTGTGGGTATGTGGGTGTGGTTGTTTTGCCTAACTCTTAGGGTGTAGATTATTTTACTTATTTCATATTTTGATTTAGGATGTTTTCTTATGGATTGAAATTTGTTGGTCTAGTCTGGTTTGGTCGGTTTAAATCTGGTTTGGTCTGGTCTGTTTAAGTTTGATCTGGTCTGGTGTGGTTTGATATGTTTAAGTCTAGTCTGATTTGGCCTTGTTTTGTCTGGTTCGGGACTGAAAACATTCCAAAAGAAAACATCCTTAGCGAATTATATATTTATGAGGTGATATCTTAGAGATCTCAGAATCTTTAAATATCCCTTATTCTTAGGAAATCTTAATTAATAGGATTCCTTCCTTACTTTTCTACTTCTTTAGCTGTATATATTCTGTAACATTCTTCTCATATGTAATATAACAAAAAGTCAAAAACAGAATAGAGACATCTTTCTCTATTTCTTTCAATCCACATAGGGATTGGTAGATTTGTAGTGGTTTCCAAAGTTTTGAATTGTGAAGCTTTGACTTCTTCCAGAACTTCCCAATTTTTTCCTCAATTGGTTTTCTTCATGGAAACAGTCTCTACTTATAGGGTTGGTGGTAGTAGTAAGGTCTATGCACGTCTCAACCTCTTCTAACCCTACTTCTGATGGGAGTATATTGGGTATGTTAGCTACTTAGATCTGGCTTAAGTTGTTATACATGTATCAGCCATCAGGACTTTATTTCTAGTCTAGATGATAGTCCAAGTTGATTATACATCGTGTTTGATAATTTATTGTGGGTTAAGATGCTAACTATTCCTAATGAAATTAAAGTTATTCATTGCAAAAGGAGAAACAGGGCTCAAGTTCAGCATATTTTCTTTCCTGTTGGTCCAGATTCTTGACGATGATGGATTAGCTTCTCCAGGAGAACTCATTAAAGCCAAGGATGTTTACATGTACAAGGGAACCCCACATATCACAAGAGGGCTGCCAGTGCAGTCACCAATGGCGCTTCCAGAGAGGTATCTCTTCTGTATGTTAATTTTTGTTTCTACATTCTCTTTAATCAGATAACACTCTATTTATTTCATATTCCAGCGCATACAAACAAGTGAAACTTTCGCTTGGTTACAACAAGTGTCCTGAAGGACAAATAAGTGCTGTGGATAGAGTCCCTCTGTTCTCTGACAAGGACAACAATTTATGTGTGAATTTTATGATCCGTCACACTCGAAGGCCGGAGGTGGGTCCCTGCTAATTGCTTGTACTAGACATGATATTCTCTGTAGGCTTGGAATTGTCTGTTAGGCACTGAAATGATTTTTGAGCTGGTGTTTCATCCAGCTTGGTGACAAGTTTAGTAGCAGACATGGTCAAAAAGGAGTCTGTGGAAACATAGTCGAGCAAGAAGATTTCCCATTTTCTGAACGTGGCATATGCCCTGATCTAATTATGAATCCTCATGGATTTCCAAGGTAACTATAAAATGTTCAAGTATGAATGACTGTTTGAGGTTTGTCAAAATATATCTTTCTTACATTTTTCCGTACCTTTTAGAAATTTAACTGTTACACATTGGCCAAACATGAATTTCTTTGGGAGGCGAAGGACATATGTGTATAGCAAAATATAAACTAGAATGATAATAAAGATGGAGAGAAGGATTTTCTGTGTATTTTCTTTGGAGGGTTAAGTCCCTATATATATACATTACAAAGATAGAATATTCCTATAAGATGCTATACAATAATAATATCCTAGAGTTATATTCTAAAGCATATTCTAAAGATAGAAGAATATTCTAAAGCATATTATACAACATATTCCAATGTCTTTCACACTCCCCCTCAAGTTGGAGCATAGATATTTATCATGCCCAACTTGTTACATAAATAACCAACACGAATTCCATTTAGTGCTTTAGTGAACAAGTCTCCAAGTTGCTCTCCCATCTTCACATGTCCTGTAGAGATCAATCCTTGTTGTATCTTTTCTCGAACACAGTGACAATCGACCTCAATATGTTTTGTTCTCTCATGAAACACTGGGTTGTTGGCAATGTGTATAGTAGCCTGGTTATCACACCAGAGTTTAGCAGGCATTGGTGTCTTCAGTCCGATTTCACTCAATAAATGGTTTATCCAGATTAATCTCACATGCCGATTGTGCCATAGCCCGATATTCTGATTCAGCACTCGAACGAGAAACCACATTCTGCTTCTTACTTTTCCAAGAGACGAGATTACCACCAACAAAGACGCAATAGCCAGTTGTGGATCTTCTATCATCTTTAGATCTAGCCCAATCAGCATCTGCAAAGCATTCTATTCTCATGTGATTATGATTTTGATAAACAATACCTCGTCCCGGTGTACCGGGAGCCTAGGCTCAGGAAAAGTAACATGTGGAACAGCGGCTGAAGCAGTGGACTCGGGTATAGTGACTGTGTAAATGAGTATATCATCATTCTCCCTACAAATATTTGTCTCTGTTGATGAAAACGGTGTATTTTCATAAAAGGAGACGTCAATTGAAACAAGATATCGACCCGTACTTGGACAAAAACATCTGTAACCCTTTTGAACTCGAGAGTAGCCTAAGAAAATGCACTTTAATGACTTGGGATCTAACTTTGTTAAATGGGGATTAACATCTCGTACAAAACAAGTGCAACCAAATATTTTAGGAGGGATGGGAAAATTTTCATTATTTGGAAATGGGCACTGATATGGAGTTTTACCATCCGAAACAGTAGATGACATTCTATTGATCAAAAAACATGCGGTAGACACAACATCTGCCCAAAACTGTTTAGGCACATTCATTTGGAATAGAAGAGCCCGCGCAATTTCTAATAGATGCCTGTTCTTTCGTTCAGCAACTCCATTTTGGGGAGGTGTGTCTACACATGAAGTTTGATGAATGATGCCATGTTGAGCCATATACAACTTAAATGAGGATGACAAATATTCTTGAGCATTGTCTCCCATTAAAATACGAACATGTACATTAAATTGAGTTTTAATTTCAGCACAGAAGGCACAAAAATGAGAAAATAACTCAGAACGACGTTTCATGAAATATATCCAAGTCATACGAGAATAATCATCAACAAAGGTAACAAAATTTTTAACACCAGTTTTGGACACAACAGGGCAAGCGCCCCAAACATCAGAATGAACAAGTTCAAAAGGAGCGTGTGCTCGTTTATTGACTCAGGGACTTAAACTAGTTCGGTGATGTTTTGCAAATTGACATGAATCACACTGTAAAGATGACACCTTATTAAATTGAGGATGAAGTTTCTTTAACAACGGGAGAGAGGGATGGCCTAGTCGATAATGAGCCTCTAACACAGTTCCAACTCCAAGACAAGAGATGGATTTGGGTAAGGATGTATCCAAGAGATAGAGAACAGCTGACTCATATCCTTTACCAATAACCCGATTTGTCACCAGATCCTGAAATACACAATATCCAGGAAAAAAAGTTACAGAGCAATTAAGATTACGTGTGATTTTGCTGATCGAAATCAAATTAAAGGCAAAGTTTGGAAAACTTAGGACGGGTGACAAAGGTAAGGTAGGTGTTGGGATAATTGTACCCGTTCCAAGAACCGGTGACGTAGATCCGTCAGCCAAAGTAACACTAGAAGTATGAAGAGGTGTGTGGAATGAGGGAAAAAGACTAGGATTACCTGTCATATGATTTGCCCCTGAATCGATAACCCATTTTGAGGATGAAGACACAAGACATGTGTTTGGATTACCTGAATTAGCGACAACTGAGATAAGAGTAGATGAATGCTTTAGAGCCTCCTGGTAGCAAAGAAATTTGGTGTATTCCTCAGAAGACATAATGATTGAGCCATCAGGTGGCTATGTAGCGGAAGCAATGTGAGCAACTTGATTTCCTTGATTTTTGAACTTTAGTTTTCGACAATCTTTGATCAAGTGTCCGGGTTTCTTACAGTAGTTGCATACCACTCCTTTGCCAATCGATCCAGTGTGTGGCCATTTCTCACCTCCTTTGGGGAATGTGAGGACTTGCCCTACAAAAGCATTGCTTGGCTGAGGTGCTAATGATGTGAATGAAGTGTCAGTGCGAAGCACTCTACTGAAAGCATCTTGAAGAGAAGAGACCGCATCACCAGACAAGATATGTGATTTGGCTGTTTCAAAATCAGTCGTAAGACCAGTCAAAAAGCTCATAACCGCCATTTGTTCTCGTTGTTTCTGCTGCACTTTGATATCAGGACTAAATGGCATTAATGTATTAAGCTCTTCATAAGTTTTCTTGAAATCCATAAAATAAGCCGTGAGAGGCTTATCTTTCATTTCAGCTCTGTAAAAGGCTTTGCACACCTCATATATGTGATTAAGATTACCTTTGCCTGAATACATAAATTCCAAATAATCAAACAATTCTTTCACAGTATCACAATGACTAACATACCCCATGACATCGTTCTCCATGGAGTTCTGAATCTGGATAAATAATCTAGAATTATCACGAAGCCAGACATCATTAGCAGCTTTATCAACATCCTCATTTGGCGGATCATCAACTAAGTGGGTATATTTATCAATGCTCCTTAAATAACGTTTGATAGTCTTACTCCATTCAAATAATTGGAGCCACAAAGTTTATTCTCAGTAATTTTAAAGTTAATGGGAATAACTTCAGAAACTATCAAAGGCCGACTTCGTGTTACTGCGGAGGTATCAGTGTCAGAACCAGACATTTTTTTTAATTTTTTTTTTAGTTTTTTTTTGGATTTTTTTTTTTTCAGAAATAAAATATTAAATGAACTTACAGCCTTTTTCCTACTAGCGCCAGGTCATCATGAATGGCGGAAAAATCCTGCTATCCACGCCTAGTGTAGAAAGCATGAAGCAGGCTTCCAATATTATGAAGAAGTAGACCTGGACATTGCTAGAGCAAGCCCTGATGAGTCTGGAGATGGTTTTCGTTCGAAGCTTCCAGTCAGAATGTCGTCGTCACGCGCCGGCTTCTGAGATGGGAGGTTCTGGGAAGATGTTCTGGGAAGAAGTTCCGGAAAAAGGTTCTTGGAAAAGTCTGAGATCAGAGGTTCTTGAAGACTGTGGACTGAAATCAATTTCTTGGAGAAAGAACACAGTTTGAAAACTAAAATGAGATAGAGATAATGACAAACTAAACTGAAATCTCAAAGGAAAAACTACATGAAATGGAAGGCTCTGATACCATGTTGAAATATAAACTAGAATGATAATAAAGATGGAGAGAAGGATTTTCTGTGTATTTCATTGGAGGGTTAAGTCCCTATATATATACATTACAAAGATAGAATATTCCTATAAGATGCTATACAATAATAATATCCTAGAGTATATTCCTAAAATATTCTAAAGCATATTCTAAAGATAGAAGAATATTCTAAAGCATATTATACAGCATATTCCAATGTCTTTCACACATACTAAACTAGCATCTCTTCTTAGATACGATTCTCTGTATGTAGTATTTTCTCATCTCCTGAATAGATGAAAAGCACATTCAAAGCTTGGTTTTACAAGTTACAACTGAGAATACACTAATATACAGCACTGAAGAAGAAAATGTAAACTGCTATATCCTTCTCAAGCTGCAGCATATATACTGCTCCAATGGAAATGAATTAGAATATGATGAAGCAGGAGAGGTTACGAGAAATATGATATGTCACTTCCGTGTCTAGATCCAAACCGAGTTAGACTGAGCCAAGGGCATGTTAGTCAGGGATGATGGTGGTTCTCGTAGTTTTCCAATTTTAGTTAAGAATATGATGATCATTAAGCTCCACATTTAGTGGGAAAAAGAAAGTATGTACTTTCTCTGTTATTAGGTTACAAAAGTGCTTGTATGTATAGCCACCAAAGGTGAGAAAAAGACTAAAATTAACAGAATATGTTTGTTTAAAGCAAAGTTAACATACACTAACATTAGAGGTTTGTTCAACAACCCATCAACTCTTCAAGTTTCCAACGTGTTTCAACATAGCGCAATCTGCCTTTCTGTCTAACGTTGGATAAAAAGTTCATATCATGTTAACCTGACCTGCCATGTAATTTTTACCTAATGCAAGTACATTATTTGATACATCTAATTAATATTTGCTATAAATGTCAGCCGAATGACTGTTGGAAAGATGATAGAGCTTCTTGGAGGTAAAGCAGGAGTTTCTTGTGGTAGGTTCCATTATGGAAGTGCCTTTGGGGAAAGCAGTGGCCATGCAGACCGAGTTGAAACTATAAGGTATTTTGCTTTTTTCGATAAACCGTTTTTAAATTTGCAAACATTCGATTTATTATTCTCAATAAGGCATAGCCATATCTTTTTGTAACAGTGAAACCCTTGTGAAGCATGGGTTTAGCTACAATGGAAAGGACTTTATATATTCAGGTCAGTGTCCTTTATCCGTATGATTTCATCCAATGTTGGTTGATGATATGTGAACTTTCCTTAGATTCAATTCTTCCAAATTCTTCAATCTAGGCATTGATGGCACGCCATTACAAGCATATATCTTTATGGGGCCAATTTATTACCAGAAGCTGAAGCACATGGTGAGACCCAGAAACTGAAGCACAGTATTTATCTTTGACATTATATTGGAATGGAACAGCTATTTCTCAGTCTATGTGACAGTGGTTTAAGTTGACCCACACACATGCACTCCGTTCACATTTAGTTGCATCCATAGGCTACTCAAGAAATCTAGGAGTAAAATTGTAGTGACAGTGAATAGTGTGGAAAAAAGTGAAAAAAGTAAGAGAGAATGGATGAAAAATGTGGAAACAGAAATTCAAAAATTAGGAGAGAATAGGTGAAAACGTTGAAAGAGAAGTTAAAGAAGTAAGGATATTTTCGTTTTTGATATGATCGTAGGTTCTAAAAATGGAACGTTGAGCAAGTATGATAGATAACAGTACAATTGTCCCAATATAGAGTAATAAGCATGTCAAACAATCAATCACTAGCTCACAGATTAGAATGTCATCATTTAAAGGTGAAAATAGGGAGAAGAATACAGAATAGGCAATTCGAGGGTGCCTTGCTCACCAAGTTCTGAACTTCTAACAGACTACCAAACTGCCTAGCTCTCTGTTCTTCCCTTCTTTTTATTCCCTTCTTCCACTACATTAGCCAGCTCAGCAAGTGATAGGACACAACACTCCCGATAACGTAGTAATTATGTTACTCAAAGGTAGAAGAAGTATTCAGACTACTAAGGAAATCTCAATAACTTGCAGCAAAAGAAAATAACAATCTGGAGACCATTCGAGAGGGACCCTCTCTCCAACAAACTCACCAATTCCCAGATACCCCTATTTCCATTACCCGACTCCCTTTTATTCTATTTTCCAGCTCATCCTGACATCACTTCATTAATTAGATAATTGCCCTCTTACCCTCCTATAGTAAGCTTTAGAGAAATCCTTGTTGTAGAGAGAGTTGAGAGCGTCTCCCACTAGGCTCCTCCTAGGTTGCTCTTTCTTCCCCTTCCTCAGGTCGGCGCCACCACTCATGGTGGTCGCCTCTGCCGGAGCCCTCCTGGCTCCGGTGGGTCTCATGGCTGCGGCTACATTCACCATAGAGTCCGACCTATGAGTTTTTGGAAACATATTGGAAAGGTTGTTCACTGTTCGTTCTTGAAGGTTCTTCTCCCATTGCTGTCCAACAGTTTGGTGATTTCGTGGGACATACAGTTCGGCGAGGACTTCATACAGGGGTCTGGCTGCACCAACAATGAACACCGTGTACGTTTTTCATTCTTCCCCTAGTCGTTCTACCACCTAGGCAAAGGCCTTCCGACGCCACAGCCTCTATGTCCCTGAACACAGGGTCGGATAACTTGTTGTAGTCTGATCTTGGCGAATCACCGTTGGGGGACACACTGGTGGTCGTCTTGTTGTCTACTTTAGACGGCTGGGGACCTATCAGAGACTCTGGGCTGTGCTGCACTCTGACGGGTTCCACTTTTCATGTTCGCCTTTTCCACCGGTGACCGGATTTGGTGTCAAACCCCTGTTGTTTGCCTTGGATGGCTTTGTGATATCTGATTGGATCGTTGGGGGTTTGGGATGTTTCAAGACTAGACTTTCGCCGGTGGCTGGATCTAATTTGGTCGCCAGAGGTAATGACTGTGTTACCCTCCGGGGTTGGCCGACAGTGAAACCTGCAGGTTGGTGGCTCCTAGAAGCAGGGGCGGATCTGCCTTAGGTCCAGGGAGGGCCTAGGCCCAACCTAAAAAAAACGATAGTGTATATATATAGCTGTATGTATTGTATATGTGGTTGTTAGGAGATTGTATAATAATACGGAAAGTCGAATCAAAGCAACAGACTTATGTGGTTGAGACGGAGCAGGCCTTTTTTAGTGTTGTAGATGTCTCAGGTTCGATTCTTGGTGGAAACTTTTTTTTAAAATGTCCGGAACTCTGGAGTTCTAGTCTCCCAAGCCCCAAAAAATTAATATTAATAATGGCCTAATCTCTCAATTCCTCTCTCTGTGTTTTATAGTACGAAGTACATCTTTTTGTTCCAATACGAAGTACTCTCTAAGTTCCAAAACTTAGTATATTTATATTTATATTTATATATTAGGATTTTAAACCATTTCAGGGATGGCTATTATGAGTTACTCCCTCCGTCCCAAAATGACGGTCTTGTATTTCCATTTTGGGATGTCCCAAAATGATGATTTTGTTTCCATTTTTGATAAGGAAATTAAAGCAAGTTACCATATATACCCCTCCTTTTTATGAACATTAAAATTAAAGTAATGAACAGTGCAATAAAGTAAGGTTAAATGAGTCATTCTACCCCACTGTGTAGAATGGGTTGAAGTCCCTATAAGTATATATTACAAGATAGAATATTCCTATAAGATTCTATAACATAATAATATCCTAAAGTATATTCCTAAATATTCCAAAGCATATTCCTACATTCACTCTAATATATTTCAGTTTCCAAGCAACGATTAACCACCTCAGTCTGCCCATCCGTTTGGGGATGATAGGCATTACTGTACCTTAACTTAGTCCTAGCCAGCTTGAACATTTAGACCAAAATGAGCTTAAGAAAACACTGTCACGATCAGATACAGTTGTCTTTGGAAACCCATGTAACTTCACCACCTCTTGTGTAAACAACTCTGCCACACTTTTAGCAGTGTAAGGATGACCTAATGCCAAAATATGACCATATTTAGTCAGCCTGTCAAATCACCACTAGAATAGTGTCCTTTCCTAAGGCTTTAGGCAGTCCTCCAATGAAGTCTAGACTAATATCAGCCCATATGTGATCTGTAATAGGCAGAGGTTGAAGTAGCACAGCGGGACTTGGTGCCTGATACTTGTTTCTTTGAAAAACCTCACAACCTTGTACATATTTCTCATTTCTGTATGTCATGTGTCATTCCCTCCCAGTACAGCACACTGGAAATTCTTTTCAAAGTTCTGAGATATTTTGCATGTCCACCACAAGCTGAATCATGGAACTCCCTTAAAACATTAGTTATCCAGTTTGATCCCTTTGGCAGCATGAGCCTATCCTTATAATAAAGCAACCCCTTCTTCAATTTAAATCCAGGATGTGACTCAGGTTGAGCCAACAAACTCTGAATAATCTGATTACACCTGGTGTCATGCAGTAACTCCTCCTCCAACCCCTCTCATTCATAGAAACTAATCACTGAAAGGGCCTGATAACTACCCTTCCTGGACAGTGCATCAGCAGCTTTATTCTCCAACCCTGGTTTGTATTTAACCACAAAATTGTACCCAAGGAGTTTGGTGATCCATTTCTGCTGTTCCTCCCCCAAAAGTTCTTGCTCAGTCAGGAACTTCAAACTTTTTTGGGCAGTATGAACTTCAAAACACCTGCCCATCAGGTAGGACCTCCATTTGTATATAGTTGCTACCATGGCCATGAGTTCCCTTTCATAAACAGATTTATTCTGGTTTCATCCGGATAGTACTTTGCTCATATAAGCCACATGCCTGCCATCTTGCATTAGCACTGGTCAACACCCTGACCTGAGGCATCTGTCTCTACTTCAAATGTCAAACTTACTGCCACACCCATCAGGTTACTAAAAAAGTCATACTTACTGCCACTATGTCGAACCGTGCATGAGATTTCCATCTCATATGGCCACTTTTCAATTCATTTTAATTAATTGGAAGGAGAATTTCTATCCAATAAAATTAACAAATTTAATATGAAAAGACCCAACCAGAAAAAATAA